CAGAGTTGTTTTTGTTGACGTCATATAAAGCGTGTCAGTCATTTTATCAGTTCGTTGTCGGTTTAATTTGTCGTTTGTTTGTCTTTCCCCTCTGGCTTAGGTGATAGGACGGTGAAGTTGAAGGATGTCTAAGGGATGCTTTTTCCGGGTGTGTCGGGGGTTCTGAGGATGAGGTGGTGAGGAAGGATTAGGTTTCAGTATAGAGGGTTGTTGATATATTTTTGGAATTGGGCTATTGCGGAGTTGTGGAGGTGTGTGAGGATGTGGGGTATTTTGTTTTGGTATCGTATGGAATTGTAAATGGTACATGGGTGGGCGAAAGATGAGGCGGATGTTGTGGTTTTGGACGCGGGTTAGTTTGGTGCGGTTGGTGTGAGGTGTAGCGAACCAAGTTGAATGGGCATATGTTAGGATGGGACGGATATAGGAGTTGTAGGTTTGAATTTTTTCTTGGTGGATATTTGGGGATTGGAGAGGATGGGATTTAAGGTATTGGTGATCCTGGTTGCTTTGACGGTAATTTGGTGGATGTGGTGGAACCAAAGCAGTCTGCGGGAGAAGGTTAGGCCAAGGTAGGGTATTTCTGGGGTCTAGGGGATTGGTTCGTTTCCAATGGTTATGGGAGGAGGGTTGTATGGGTATGTTTTCTACGAGAACAGGTTTGCTTGAAATTTGAATGGGTTTATGGTAATGGAGTTTTGGGGAACCCAGAGGTGGAAGTTGTTTAGGGATTCTTGGAGGTAGGATAAGGATCGGTTTAGGGAGTGGAAGGAAGCTAGGAAGGCAGCGTCATCGGCGTAAAGGAAAGTTTGTACTCCTGGTGTTGGTGGAACGCCATTTATATAAATAGAAAAAAGGATTGGGGTAGCATAGAACCCTATGGGACGCCGGCTTGGATTGGATATTTGCGAGAGGTTTTTGATAGGTGTCGGATGTGGAAGGAGCGATAATTTAGGTAGCTTTGTTGTAGGGAGTGGATATGATCGGGTACATAGGGTCGGATTTTCATGAGAAGGATTGGATGGGAGACGGTGTCGTACGCTTGCGTGAGGTCTGTGAAAATGGCAGGAATTTCTTTTCTATCTTGTAGTGGGGTGGCTATAGCTAGGGATTGATTTAGGGTTTGGAGGGCCGCCGATCGAACCTCACGGAAACCAAATTGTGTGGAGGTTATGATGGGGAGGACAGGTGTGGGGAGGACAGGTGTTAGTCGGAGGAGTATACTTTCGAATGTTTTACCAAGGATGGGTAGTAGACTGATGGGACGGTGGTTAGATGGGAGCTGATGATCCTTGCCAAATTTGGGAATCATGGTAACGCGAGCGATCTTACAGATGGTGGGGAAGTAGGACAGTCTTAGGCAGGAGTTGAGGATCAGGGTGATCAGGTCTATTGCATTCTTTGTTAGACGGGTGAGTTGAGATGGGAGGACTCCATCGTGTCCGGGAGATTCGTTGCAGTCTATCATCTTAAGAATTTGTTTCATTTCCGCGTCGTTCTTCGTCCATATCTGTTGTTGGTCAGGTGGTAGAGGTGGAGTCTGAAGGAAGTTCCAAAGAACACTGTCTGGGATTGGGATGATGGAGGAATGAAGCGTTCGGCCAGGGTATTGGGTGAAGGTATTTGTGATGGTTTGGGGGTAAAAGGTTAAGGTGTTGTTGGTTAGGATAGGGGAAATGGGAGTGGGGTGGTTCCTGACTGCTTTTATGACTTTGTGGTTATTATTGGGGCTGCTTTTATCAGATAGTAGGTTGCCATACGTATGTATCTCGTGATGTTTGATTAGGTTGTGTATTATGTTCTGCGTCATTTTTAGTTCTCGTTTGTCGTCACCTTGTCTGTATTTGTAGTATCGTCGTTGAATTCGCCGTTTATGTCGTATAATCGTGACGGTTTCTTAAGCGAGGGTGGGGTGTGTATTTCTGGAGTGGGATGTGGTTTTTCGGTATGTTTGTTTTATGTAGTGGGTTAGGTGATCTATGGAGTTGTCTATGGGTTGTCAGGATATCTGAGGGAACGTGAATTTTCTCAAACAGTATGTTTAAATTTTTTTCAGTAGGTTTTCAGTATTGATGGGGTTTGGGATGCACGTAGTTAGGGGTTGAGGAGCTGGTGAAAAGTATTGGGAGGTGGTCAGATAAGTCGTACAGGTCGTATTTTGGTTGGGGAATGGTTTTAGTATTTGGAAGGAGTGGAGGATAATATCAAGGATATCGTGGGGAATATGCCTCTGACTACGCCCACGTTGCGAAAATGTCCCTTGCACTTCACTGAATACTCGTGCAAGTTCCTCGTTCGTTGCTACTTCTACTTTGCTAAGCCAGAACTTTCAATGCTTCTTTCACAACGGGCAACTTTTACTTCCCGTGTTGTTAATTGAAGAAACACTTTACTTAATCTGCACTATCCCGCGGACGACTGACTAGAACGTCTGTTCGACGCCGAATACTCCTACCTAGTAGTCGTTGCTGCGGCAAACAATATCTAAACTAATGTTTAACGAAAGTGTTGACTCGGCGATCGGTGGTAAAAGAGGGCTTCCGCTTGCGGGTTCGCGTATTTATCGCGCGGCGCCTGGGGAAATTCTCTGTGGTGGGGCTGCTTCCCCTCTCTCAACCCTTCACAAGGAAAACATTGCTTGCTAGTTTGCCTTCGTTTAGTACGGGTAACGGATACCAGGCCGCGCGTTTACGAACCTCTGTTTTCTGCGCCTGTTATCCTCGCTGCCTCCGTAGTGTTCACATATATGAGACGGTGGTGTTATGGGGTAGCACAATCCCATAACGCCACAATATATATGTGTATATATATATGTGTATGTATGTGTATATATATATATATGTATGTATATATATATGTATGTATATATATATGTATGCCGATCCGGTGGCCGAGATCGCTAAGTCAGTAGTGCCGTAGCGATCTCGTACCGAAAGATCGCGGGTTCGAGTCCCGCCTCGGGCATGGTTGTATTGTGTTCGTCCTTTCACCCCCTATCATTATCATATCAGGGAAGGCAACGGGAAACCATTCTGAATAATTTATCCCAAGAAAACCCGTTATGGTTCACCTAACTTCCGTATATGGAAGATAGGGCCAAAGAAGAATATATATATATATATATTACGCTACCCTCTAACATATGGCCGGTCGGAGTGTTTTGAAGTGTTGCAAGATCGTAAATTAAATTGTGTATTTCGGCGAAAGAAGAGATGATAAGAGTGAAAGACTACGAGCCAGGAAGTTTTCTAGTGACGCTACTTGATCACAAGCGTAGGCGCAGTGAGTCATTGAAAAAAAAACTATATAACAACACAATTTTTAAAAAGCGCGAATGTAATCAAGAAGCCGTGACTTCCTTGAAGCGAAAATGACGTTATTCAGACCAGTAGCAGACCTGATTAGCTGCAACAGGAGTCCACATCAGATCACAGAAATTACATTACTTCAAAGTAAATAACAAGTTAAATGCCAACTAATACAACCCTTGCGAACGTGAATGAGAAGTCACCCCAATGCTGCCCGCAATGTTCAAAGATACTCAATGACGAAGATACAACCGCAGGATGTGTCGGAAATTGCCGTAAATGGTTTCATAAGACCTGCACGCAACTTTCGATCACAGAATAAAATCACTTGCGATAAAAAGGGAAATTTTCTGTGGATGTGTCAGCCATGCGGAAACATATTAGATGCCCACGGAATAACTTACCTCATTCCCACAGGATTTGAATGTGAAGCAGGCGATAGTAGAGTCACGAAACTGTGAAGATAGCCTCAGAAAAACGATATATGAGCTCAGTGAATCTTTAACGCAAAAAATTGCGTTGATATGAGATGCTCAAATACAGCAGGAGCAAAAAATGGCAAAAATACAGGAATTAGCTACATAACACCAGAACAAATCCAAAGCCAGGCGGATGATACCTCACTGTCTTCTACTGTAAACTGTGGAGAAGATGGAAACCTGGCAGGATATAGAGGCAGTGTCATTTAAAAAACGCCAACAATATCACACTATAATGGCCCACAAAAGGAAGGAGTGGAACAATCCAGTCACGTTAACAGCAGAGACCCCTTCAATATTAGAGGGAGAACTCTGAACTACAAGGGGATATTGCCTAGCTGTACTTCTGAGGACTCAATGAAAACACAGACGAGGAACAAGTCTAAACTACCTAGAAAACAATGGCGTAACTGGAAAAATTGAATGTGAGCAACTGGAGACAAAAGGACAAAACAGGTCTTTCAAAGAGTGGGCATTCCCCTGGTCAAACGTGACAAAATAAAACCAGGGACTGTCCTGTCCTGTCTGTGCAATAGGAATTTCAGGGTAGAAAACTGGGGCGAATTTCCATCAACACACACACACACACGTATATATATATATATATATATATATATATATATATATATATATATATATATATATATATATATATATAGCCACGAAGTCACTTCCTTTCTTCCTTTGCAACACAGCAGCCCCTAGAAGGTGCTTATTATCGGAGGATTACTCCTGTGCGTTCAACGCTCCTTACGGAGTTACTAGACGCGTTGCGTCGATATTGACGCAATAAGTAAATAAGTACTAATAATGACTAATATTTGTACCAAGCCCGCTGAAAACCTCTACCTGGAGTTCTCGCACCCGCCCTTTTTCCGTGAAGAAATCCTGGTTGTGCATCTGTATTTATTATTCTTTAACTAAAAAAATTACTACATTTTACATTTTTGGTGTTCACTTAAGTTCACGTAAGTAAAACTATTTGATTGTATATAATAATAATATTAAAATTTTTGAAGTTCTGGAAATTTTACAATTAGAGTACATTATTTGTAAGAAAATAAATAATTGTTTCAGGGATTATTTGTTAGAACAGAAATAAATGTTTAAGTGATTGATCCTATCGACAACTTATCATTAATAAGTTTAAAGGACATAAGGAAAAGTTTCATAAGCAATGACTTATTGCAGTATGTTGGTATAACTCATTTTACTACTCTGTGTGTTACATTGGTATCACTGATGACTTGCAATATGTCTCCTGTATCACTGGTCATGTCATGAAAGTGATGTTTTTTGCGGAGATTTCATGTGTTAATTGTGGTGTTAAATTATAGCATAAATTTGAGAGACATGAAGGTGGTATTAATGGTCGCGGAGAAGCCTTCACTGGCTACGTCTTTGGCTAATATTTTAAGTAATGGGAAATGTAGTAGTCGTAAAGGTAATATCCCGGCACTTGCCGGTCTCGTGCTTACATTGAAATTATCTGTGCAAATGTTCTCCTATTTTGTTTTGTGTCGGATAATTGTAATATCGTGCAATTGCAGGTTCTAATAGTGCTTGCTCAGTGCATGAATGGACGGGTACGTTCCACGGTGAACCTGTCTGTTTTCGAATGACATCTGTGTGTGGTCATGTCATGACCTTAGATTTCATCGGAAAATACAATAATTGGGATAGGGTAGATCCTGTAAGTGTATTCTGTTGTACCAGATATACTATAAAAAAGTCGTTTCTGGATATACTCCAAAAACATCCTTCAAATGTATGAACATTATTAAATATAATTTGCCTCCTTAGGTGGAGTTATTTTCATGCCCCACCGAGAAGAAAGAAGCAACGCCAAAACTTAAAATGCTTGCATTTTTATCCCAGGAAGCCAAAGGTATTGCTTATCTTGTTTTATGGCTAGATTGTGATAAAGAAGGAGAAAACATATGTTTTGAGGTTATTGGTGCCGTTCATCAAAATTTAAGGAATAATGTTACATGCCCTGAAGAAGTAAGAAACAATTACATTGGTACACCTTTTTACAAAAATATATTCATATTTGATCATTAATACAATTTAAATTTACTTGTAGGTTATATATAGAGCCCATTTCTCAGCTATTACAGAAAAGGATATAAAAGCAGCTTTCTCAAATCTTGGTCGACCTAATGAAAATGAAGCTCGTAGTGTAGATGCTCGTCAAGAATTGGATTTACGAATTGGTTGTGCTTTCACAAGGTTTCAAACCAAGTTTTTTCAGGTTAGGTTCATGTAATCTGTGTTGATTGTGGTTCAAGTGATATGCAATGATTTTATTTCAATTGATTACATCTGCTTTTAATTTAAAGTATTTGTATTGTTATTCTAATATAATGTATAATGAACAGGGTAAATATGGTGATTTGGATGCATCATTAATTTCTTATGGCCCATGCCAAACCCCAACATTAGGTTTTTGTGTCCAGAGGCATGATGAGATACAAACATTTAAACCAGAACAATATTGGGTTATTCAGGTAAGTCATCCAAATTTTATATATATACCATTGTGATTTGGCTAGTCAATATATTGTCCTTTACTTGTTTTTTTTCCATTGATTACTAATTTTTATTCATTAAAGGTGCTTTTAAAAGCAGAAGATGGTAGAGAAGTAACTTTAGATTGGGAAAGAGTACGCTGTTTTGAGAAGGATGTTGCCACTATGTTCCTTGCAGATATCAAGGAATACAAAGAAGCAATGTAAGATATGAACAATGCAATTTATTACGTTTGAATGCAATTACAATGTAATATATACATTATTGAATACATTACAATGCAATATGAACAATTTGAATTTACTACACTTCATAATGTCATTGTTTTACCAAAGTGAAAATACTGTTATATGAAAAATGAAGGCATATGAATTTTTGAAAACAATATGATTCAAACACTTGCTTATTTTAAAGATTATAAACTTAGTTTTGATTGTAGGAAAGTTATTTGTAGAAAACAATTTTAAAGTAAAAAATACACTGATGATATATAACCTTAAAATGTCAATATATTAATATAATTTTCTCAATGTTTTGGACAAACTGCAACATTGTGACCCTCTGCAGGACAATCATTTTATAATTAGATGCTTCAAACATATTAACAATTGTAAAAAGTTCTAACAACAATGGATGCTCCATCTTAAATCCATCTGTAAAAGAGAGGGGGCTATCTGATGTGTGTGATTATTATAACCTAGATATCTATGGAGTAAAACTGCCTAAAGTATGCCATGTAAAATGCAGGAAGAATCTTTACAATGTGCAGTGTAAAATTCACAAGGAAATAAATGCTTATTACTAAAATGTAATGCAAAATTGTAGAAAAATTTGTATTGCTTACAATGGGATTGTCACTTTGAAACATGAACAAAAGAATTAAAAAAAGAAAATGTATTTTGAAAGTAATTTTTGGAGGATTAGCAAGCACTCTGCACGCATAAATAAGCTCTCTATCATCTCCAAAGTTTAAAGTGTGTTCTCCTTCATAATGAAAACGCTTTTCATTCAGTGCCTGTTGCCTATTCAGTGGTCCTCAAAGAATCATATGCGAATCATTTGCAACTAATGTTATAGCAAGTTACGTAAACATAACTTGACTGTTTGTGATGTTTTTAAAGTTCTTATGGTGCTGCTGAGGCAAGAATTTGGTTTTACTAAATGTCCATGCTTTATTTGATTGTGAGATAGCAGGGCATGAGTTGATCACTGGATTAAGAAAGAGTTGCCATCACGAGAATGTTTGGAAGTCGGTTGAATGTTGTACACCAAAGCCTTATGAACCCTAAAGTTTTGGTGTCACCTCTCCACATTAATCTTGGCTTAATGAAACTATTCATAAAGGGTTTACATAAGGGAGGTGACTATTTCAAGGACATATGTAAGAAATTCCCATTACTATCTGAAGCAAAATTAAAAGAAGCTTCTGGAATGGTCATGATGAAAATTGATGTCAGATGCTGAGGAGAAAGCAGATATCTTTCTTTGAAGTTGTTTTAAAATTCTTGGTAAAAACAAGGATCCCAAGGCCTGACTCGTTTAACACCACTTCACATTTGTGCCGTATGTGGGCATGCAAAGGCACTCGGCGGATGCACATTTCATTTCGACTGATTTGACATGTCTTGGCGTGCTTCTCAAGCGACTTGATGTGAGTCAGGCAAGCAGCAACACTGATCCTTGGCACTTGTGGCAACCTAAAAAAGTTCTCAGTAGCCCAATGCTACAAAGCAGGTCACATGATGTTCCATAGCAAGTGGCGAGAGAACTGTCAAATCTGCTTACACGCTGATAGAATTGCAACTTTTGGGCTTCTTTTCGGGGATGAGGGGTGAATATGCAACAATAATATGCAAATATGGCCTAAATATGCAAGTAAGATAATATATGCGAAATAAAAATAGCTTAAATTGATTCTAAATGCCTCATAATGTACACAATTTTTTGAAACGGGATGTTTTACTTAACAGAAAAAAATATGCAAATGCATATAAATCACAGCTCTATTTATTATTAAATGTAGTGGGGTAAATGATCGTCAACAAACTAGTACATACATGTTTATGAAAGATGAAAGATTGAGAACACGAAGCAAACCTTCAGATAATAGTTTGAATCACAACATAATATCAAGACACAATACGGACTGGACTGATATGTCACACAAGTGTGTGTAAATAACAGTTCCTTTAAAAGGTTTATACTTTCTAGGGGACCAACATTTTGTAGTTTGGCTGAAACTTTATGAAAATTATATTAACATATGGATGTTTAATGTAGTATTATATTTTAGTAAATGCAATTCTTAAGTATTGATTTTTTCCTCCTCGAGATGTATTTTATTAAAAATTACTTGAATACTGTAGAGAAAGTTGGAGATCTTCTGAAGGTAATCAATTTCTGTTTCTTCAGTGTAATGAATATTTCAACTAAAGAGAAGGTAAAGCAGCGACCTCAAGCGTTAAATACTGTGGAGTTAATGAGAGTAGCAAGTGCTGGGCTTGGAATTGGACCCCATCATGCTATGCAACTTGCTGAACGTCTTTATACTCAAGGATTTATCAGTTACCCACGAACTGAAACTACTCACTATCCAGAGAATTTTGACCTGACGTAAGTAAAAGTTAGTGATTAATGAAGTCTCTCTTGAATTTTTGTAATTCTATACAAATGTCCTTCCTTTGGAAAGTGTGCAAATTGCATATCTATTTAATTGTTGTTTAGTCACTTATTTTAAATCACGGACAACCACAAAGCTAACTGCCCAAAACTTTTACATAATAATTTTATTCACTTGTGTATTATTCTTATGACGCTTCGGAGACTGTTCTGTCTCCCTCATCAGGTAAAACTGAAAATTTAATTATAAAAATATTTCATTAACCCATTCATGATATTCTGAGTTTTTATATTTAGTGTTTCTAATATTAATCTTTTATTTCTGTTGGGTTCTACCACTAAAATATGAAACCGATCAAAATTTATTGAATGACTTAGGTTAATTCTTCGTTGGGATATTGAATTTTCCCTATTTGTAATCGCCTTGATATTTTTGCTGTTCCATTATTCTTTGTTGAATTGTTCTCTTCATTTGGCCAATATAATTCAACTTACAATCAGTACAGTGAACTGCATAAACTGTATCTATTATATGTATTCTATCTTTAACATTTCTTATAAGATTCTGTTTCTTAATTATTGTACTTTGATTTTAACTGTTGTTGTAACGATACAGTCAGTGCTTTTACAAATGGAATAATTATTGTGGGAGGAGTATTATTGTATAGATTCACTGGAAAGTCTGGCCGCTATGTTGGGCAGAACTCTTAAAAGTTTATTGACCCACTTGTTAATATATTTAAGTATTAATTTCTCTGGGTAATTGTTGTTAGATAGTAGTCGTTTAACTTTATAAAGATTATTAGTATGATGTGATAATTTAATACTTCTATTTACTAAATTATAGATTACTGCAATTTTCATCCATTTTGGATGACCAGATAAAAGATCTAATATAATTGCTTATAAAGGAGGCTTAGTATACCTATTGGTTTTTAATTGGTTATTATGTCTAAAAATTGTGACATCAAGGAAGTTAATCCGATTATGTTCTGTTTCTAATTCAATTTGGATAGATTTATTAAATGTATTAAGGAGTTCTAAAATTAATGGAATTTTCTCCTCTTCTATAATAATAAATGTACCATCCATGTCTTGATATAAAGAACTCTATTAGTCTGAGCTCAAACCTAAGAGAAATATATGTTAACAAATACTTCATAGCACAGGTAAGAAAACCTCTTTAAAATCTCACAATTTGTTATGCAATTGATGGTGGTTTCACAGATTATAAAACTCTACACCAAACAATTCACTATTCAAACACAAATCAATGAGCAATTTCAAATCAAAAACTTAAAACTGTTATTGTATAAGACCTATAAAGTATTGATTCTCAAAATTAAGAAATGCAGGCCTCCATGCCAATCACCTATTGTGTTTGAAGATTTTTTCCCCCTCAAAAGAAAACTACTTTTTTCATAATAAATACTTAATTTGTTATATCATTCACAGCAATAACTCCACCAATTGCCAGTCATGAATATAGAGAAATGCAATTTGCACACTGGAATTTGGTTTAAATATTGTTTAATTTTCCAAATTTTACATTGGTATGGAATTGCCAAAATTCAAAGTTGAAGAAAGACCTCATTAATCACAAATTATTTATAAACTCTAATGTTCATGTACATTGTTTTAGTTTAGAAATTATTTTTTCTTTACCTTTTTAAGTTCTTAAAACATTTTTCTTTCTTTTAATGCATGCTGTAATTACTCTTCAATATGTAATAAATATTACAAAATTACTTTTATTCTGTTGTAAAATATCAGTGTTTATAAAAAGTTAAATCCTTGTAATTTGAGGCAAACAAACTGCAAAGCTTGTTGATTGTTGTGTTCTGTGTAGATACTCTGCATTTGTTCAGGATGTATTAGACTAAAATGTTTTAATGTTAATGTAAGTATCAAAGCTTTATTTGCACAATTTATTTAATGTTTTAATTTCAAATTTTAATTGAATCCATTTACATAACAAATATTGCTGAGAAATTTTCCCCAAAAGACATTACTATTGGGTGTACTGTTATTAATTTATCTAGTTAAGTATTTTGTCTTCATGACTCCTCACTAATTTTCATTTATTTACAAAGATTTTAAGTTCTTAATAAATGTAGTAACAGACTACAGCAATAAACAAGTAATTCCTGTTTTTTATGGTATATATTGTTCACGTAACAAAAAATAAATGACAGGTCACTATTAAAATCCAATTTGTCTATTTACATAATGATTGTAGATATATTTTATAATTTTTTTTGTTCATGAAAATGCAATATTTCAGGGGTGTTTTGAAGCAACAACAACACAGTTCAGAGTGGGGAAAGGAAGTGAGAGAAATTCTTTCAGAAGGCAATTATAGGCCGCGTAAAGGGCATGATGCTGGTGACCACCCTCCAATAACTCCCATGAAACTTGCTCAGAAATCAGATTTGGATTCTGAATCCTGGAAGATTTATGACTACATTACTAGGCATTTCATTGCAACTGTAAGTTCAGTGTGTTATTTATGTTACAAGTGTATAATTTAAGGTGAGATTTAGTTATTCCATCAAAAAGTTCATTTTTTTAAAAAGTTTTTTCTGTAACTTATTATTTCAGAGAAGTCTAATGAAAATTAAAGAATTTTGTTTTTCCTTTCTCCACTTTCCACTTGATTCCCTTGTCTTTTCCAGTTTATTCTTATATGTTATGAACAATTAACAGATCTCTGAAACATCATAAACAATTCTCAGTGCTTTAAATTGGTAGTGAAATTCTAAACACTATGTGGATCAATTTTTTTAAATATCATTTGAAATGTTTTTGCAGTTTTCTTGGAAAATATAATTCAGTTTCTGGCCAATACCTGCAATAAGCAGATGCCTCAATGCGGGTACTTTTATAAAATATGCTTTTGTGAATATTGGTTCACTAAATTCATTAATTTATTAAAAAAATCATGAACACTGCAGCATTGTGTTAGCCAGCAGATGTTTTAAATCCTTGAACACTTTTAATTTATTTTGACACTTCTTCAAATTTATTGTTTATGACAATTTTTAGAAGATGGTTTCTAATTTCATACTCCAGATTTCATTTAAAAAAGTATTTCTTAGATTGCAATTTTCTATTTGATCTTTGAACTAAATGAATTAGGTACATAATTTGGATGATGTGCAATATCTTGATTGTATTCATCACTCTGAAAATAACCAGTAATTTTATTAATTAAGAAGTTTTTTTTTTAATATTCTAATTTTTCTGAAGTTATACACCCAGCTATTTTCTCATCTGTATTATAAAATGTGAACTTAACAAAGAAACCTTACTTTTAGGTTTCTCGTGACTGCAAATATCTCAGTACAACAGTATCTTTCAAAATAGGCAATGAAAATTTTTCTTGTACTGGGAAAACATTACTGGATCCAGGTTATACGTTAGTAATGCATTGGCAGTCTTTTGGCAAAGATGAAACTGTTCCTACTTTTACAAAGGGTGAAGCAATTCCAATTCATGATGTAAGCATGTGTTTTCTTAATTTCATCTTTCTTAAATATTATTTCATTTTTTTCTGATAGCTAATTAGGTTTTTAAATTCAAGGCCAAATTAGTGGAGTGTCAGACTTCGCCTCCTGACTATCTCACAGAAGCTGAACTTATCACTCTTATGGAAAAACATGGCATTGGTACTGATGCATCCATTCCTGTGCATATAAACAATATCTGCCAACGGAATTATGTCACGGTCTCTGCTGGCAGAAAACTGGTTCCTACTTCTTTGGGAATAGTTTTAGTTCATGGTTATCAAAAGGTAAGCCTCATATTACGAAAATATTTGCATCTTTGAACAATATAAATTTTTAAAACAAAAAGTTCAATTGACCACTTACAAACGGTCACTGTATGTTCTTAAGACAAGTTGCCATTACTACAGGGGTCCAAGTAATGGAGATAATGAGACATAAGAAGTGGTGATCTAGTGTAATTTTGCTATTTGCAAAAAGTGAAATATGTGTATGTTTATTGCTCCATCCTATTCACACTTTACAACGCATTGGAATAGTTTTTCCATGTGCGCTCTAAAACAACTCGTGTTAAAAACTTTCTATTTCATATCTTTACACTCTTTTTATTTTCACATATCTTTGATTCCTTTCATGGGTTTCATTTTTATCCAGACCTGATGCTGCAATTCACTCCTTGTAGAAATTTCAGGCATGGATCAAAATCACTTTATCTGAAACAGAAAATTAAACTACCCCTGAGATGTGCAACTCATACAAAACTTTGTTCTAAGTTAATTTGACAATGTATTGCAACGAAGGAAGGTACTGAATAAATTGTTATTCCACTGTTCTTTTATGGTGGTTTGCTTAAAAGAGAGAATATTGACATGTTTTGTGGGAAAACCAATCACTTCCATACTGAAATGTACATTAATGTAGGTGATGACTTTATAAATATGGCAGTTTCTGCAGATTTTACTGTATATTCTTCTTAGTAATGCTTCTTATAAAAATAATTCTGCATTGCAATACAAGTTGCTCTCCAGGCTGGCTAAGATCTCAATATTTCACTGCCTCAAACTAAAATATACTTTTGTTAAATCAATAATTCTTATTCATGAAGGTGTGAAATGTTCAATTTATGTATACTGTGTATAGCCCAAAAGAATGAGTTTTAAAAGGTTTAAACAAAAGACCTGTAGATCAACCAATACAGTCCAGCAAAAGTGAACAACTTACTTTTGCTTAAACAAAAGCTTTTAAAAAAGTAAGTTATGATGTAATTTGAGATAATTGGCTGCAATAAAATTATTATTATTATTATTATTATTACATTGTTTTTCAAAATTTCGTGCTCGTCTGGAGTTTCCACATATAACTCAAGGACAGAACATCAACACATGTGGTGAGACAGATAGTGAGAAGTTCTTGCTCCAGTGCACTGAGATTCCTCTTCAATTGCTAAGAGAGAAAACCTTATGCACAATAATGGTGGTTGCCAGCAACACCAACTTTTGCATGGTTCTGAAGTATCGATCATTTAGATGGAGTTTCTCTTTCACAATCCTCCAATTTTCAGCAACAAGCCCATTACTTGAATAATAAAATGTTTAATAATCCTAAATAAAAATTTTGTGCTCATATTTCGAATCATATTGTTTTTTCGTTTGTAGATCGACCCAGAATTGGTGCTTCCAACAATGAGATCTGCTGTGGAGGAGCAGCTTAATTTAATAGCTAGAGGAGAAGCTAATTTCAATGCCGTTCTACAACATACAGTGGAAATTTTTAGACAGAAGTTTTTATATTTTGTTAAAAACATAGAGGGCATGGATCAGTTATTTGAAGTTACATTTTCAACACTTTCTGCATCAGGCAAATCCCATTCCAGGTGTGAGAAATGAAAAATATTAGCTCTTCACGCTTTTTCTAGATTGGCCTGCTTTGTGCATGTTTTGTTCATTTAGTAGTGACAAAAAGTAGTTTTTCATTTTTTCTGGTCAGTTTTTTCAAACATAATATCTAGTTAAATTGTCAAAATATATGTAATATATAAAAACAAATCTTTATATATTTACCTTGGTTAATTTTCTTTAATGTTCTTAGCGAAGTGAAGTTAAATACTATTTTGTCGAAAAAGACCATTTTTGTTTTTTTTCAGCATCTATTCTTAATTTAGTGTTTTGATATTTTATTAGTTTTTCTTTAGCCAGCAATTGCATTGCTTCAAAGTGAAAGGTATCTAATGCAAAGTGTTTCATCTTAACTGAAAGATGAAGTAATGAAAAGCAATTCAATAGGAAAAGGAAGATGTGGTCTTTGAGGAATTAGTGAGACTATTCCTTCAGCACACGGTGTCAATCTCTCAGATGAACAAGTTATTCTTTTGTTGATAACGCATCATAGAAATTTCTTCGAATACAATTCTCTTCAGAACCTCTTTTTTGTAATTCTTAAAAGCCACTGCTTCCTGTTCATACTGATAAGACATCATCAGAGTAGTTTCGTAGAGTAGTAGCAAAAATGATGGTGTTTGATTTACACAATGCTGAATGTTATTTATCTCATGTTATCAAGAAATTTAAGAATAATCTCTTATGTAATTAAGAAAGAAAAAAAAGTACATTATATATGGTAATATTTTCTAATATATTGCTTCTACTTATTGTAAAACATTATACTGTAGATCAGTAATATATTAAAATTTCAATGTCAACATACTTGCTATAAATGCGTTTGTACCTAAAACGCAGAACATTCTGTGTGTAAAGCAAGAATAGCAAACTGTGCATCTGAGAGATCACAGTGTGTACCTGAGTAACATTTGGTAGTGTGTGTGTGCTGCTGGGTTAAACAAGTAATTTTTGTCTTTTATTTTGTATTTCATAGGTGTGGTAAGTGCCGGCGATACATGAAGTATATACAGGCAAAACCTTCGAGACTTCACTGCGCTCATTGTGATGAAACCTACAACTTGCCTCAAAATGGTAACATCCGTATCTATAAAGAATTGAAGTGCCCTTTGGATGATTTTGAATTATTGTCATGGTCTGCTGGTGCGAAGGGAAAAAGTTTTCCATTCTGCCCATATTGTTTCAATAACCCCCCATTCAGGTAGGTAATCAGATTATTATTATTGTAATACTACCGTAAGTAAAAGATGAAATAGCTTTCAAGTAGTAAGCATGCAGGATGAATTAGGAAGGAATTTTAATATACTAAATGGAATTGTATATTATGTATTATATCATGTTGTTAAGACATTGAAATAAGTCGTTTAGCATTTTAGAGAGAAAATTATATAGAACATTTCAGGTGTTACTGGCATGTTGAAAATCATTAAATAATTCTGGCCTCTGAATATGGAGCAATTAGGCTATCAACACAAGCCAGCGGTAGTATCTATTGTTTTGTATTCCCGCTGAATAAATCTTTTTCCGTACTAGAAATCGTTCATAAAAGGGTATCTTACAGCACTGATAATGTATTTGCCACTATGGTACGAATAATTGAATCACACATTCAGCCAATCGCAGTAAGAAAATAGTGGTAAACGAAACAGCTGACCACCGTTTTCTCGCACAGATGTCAAAATGGCCATAACGTTACAATAAAGTTGATTCCCTAAATTGTGATTCTCTTATAAATTTATAATGCTGTTGTACACTCTTGGAAACATAAAGTTTCGCGTTGAAAATGCCTTGGCGCGATAGGTTGATGGCTCTGGAGATCCCTGCTTGCCGACAGCTCTATCTACCGTTTATTTCCGAAACTATGTTCTGTTGATCGTGCTATGAAGATTTAATTTATCTTATTGGAGAGAGTTTAAAATATATTAAAATCCATTGAGAGCAAAATAGTTGTAGCACTAAGGAAAAAGACTTTGTGATTCCTGGCAGTAAAACTCAACTGAATAAATTTTTGTAAACCGTAATGTTCTTCTTCAAGTTTCGTTAATATAAATGTGTTAGAATAAGAGGAGCGAAACAAGGGCGCAGAATGGCTCAGTACAAACGCTGCTGTTCTAGCACTCGTGAGGTTGTGGGTTTCGATTCCCTCCCTACACTATATATTTTATCCATTCTCTACAGCACATAAAAATCACCTAAATTATAACATTTTACATTTGTTGTGACAATTTTTATGCATAAAACTGTGAAAATTCGCTGTCGCGAAGAAGGCCAATATTTCAATTGTGAAGAAATTAGAAAATTGATCCATTAATAAATTAAAAATTGTGCATTGTACACAATAAAATAAAAATTGTACAAATGTAAGCCGATATCGGAACCGTTTAATAGTTATGAGGGTTGCCGTAGTTGGTAAGGACTCCCTGATGCAAGCAATATATACTGTATTTCAAAATTCGTGTTTTAATTCCGTTCGATTAGAAAGACATGCATTTTTCCAACATATTTGTAATTATCGAAATACATTTCAAACTTTTTGAAATTTGGCCCAATAATATTTATATAACTAATTATGTATACAAAAGTTGCTTGTTTGGCTCATTGGGTGGAATCGTTTCTTTCTGAACTCTAAGCAGCAGGATGAATCCAGTGTGTGTCGTTTCTTTTTTTGTTTTTTTTTTTTTCTTATCCATGATTTTTGTCAAATGAACTGTATTACAGTACTCTTCTCTTATTGTGTCAATAAAGTATTTATTTTGATTTTAAAACGAAAATAACTCTCAAAGGGCTCTTTATCTTTCAATGAATATTTGTTTTTATTTCTCTCCAAATTACATATTTGTTAAATTTTATTCTATTTTTTTACATTAATTGTTTATTTATAATATCTATTCTAGAAAGTGTAAGGATATAATTAATAAGGAATCCAAAAAAACCTCCCAGATTCCAACGACCATTTCTCGTCCTACGTGGAGAGAAATCCACAAGTCTGCGCCGCTTAGTTTTCACTGTGTAGCGACCTCCTCCCAGGCTTCATGGATTATTTCGCAGAGCGCATCGGCATTGTTAGGTGTTCTGGATCAGGCCAGTTTTCGGCCATGGTGCGTGCTTGTCTCTGCCCAACACATTTTCAAATAGGGTTCAGATCTGGTGCACATGGTGGCCAGTCAACAACCTGTATATCTTCGTTTCTCCGCAAAAAACAATTGAACAAAGCCGACTTATGAATCGGTGATTGGTTTCTGTTGGAATTGGAATTATCTCACAGGATGCAATTGCCTTACTAATGGAATCATGTATCTCTCAGTATGTGGATGTACTGAGTGGA